AGCTCCGGGCAAAAAGAGAAGCTGAACATGGTCACAAGCCCAAGCCGGTGCAAGTCAAGAAGGAAGAAGCACCGGGACCTAGCCGGCCGAGGCACCACTATGACCCGGTCATCCGAGTGGTCAATACAGAAGAATGCCAAGAAGTCCAGAAAGCACCGGTCATTCCTCCAGAAAACCCTACCGGTCAAGTAGGGCGGCAGTGGTCGGGCACCTACTGTTCATACCACAGGTCAGATTCCCATAACACCTCCGAATGCAAGAGTGTTAAGGGGGTCATCCGGCAGATGATCGATAGCGGAGAGCTGGGCAAAGATTACTTGCAGAAAGCCCAGGAGAAGAGTCATCAATGGGTTAGGCCAGCTGCCCTAGGGAATGACCGGGACAATGACCGGCGGAGGAATAACCGGCCAAGAGAGCGGCAACCTGCCCCCGAAAAAGAACACATCAGCATGATCTTCGGCGGACCCGAGGGTGGAGATTCAGCCGCGCAGCGGAAGAACTGGGTCCAGAGCATTTACGTGGGAGAAGTAAGTGCTGAACCGCCCAAGCGTAAACATACTAGGAGGGAGCCAATCGTCTTTACTGACCGAGATCTCCCTCCCACCGGTGAAGATCACAATGATCCATTGGTCATCACCATGGACATTAATGGGGTGGATGTCGCCCGGGTACTTGTTGACACCGGCAGCAGTGTCAACATCTTATACCTGGAGACCTTCCAGAAACTCAGGCTGTGTCGAACACAACTTGAACTCCTCAAAACCCCTCTCTCAGGCTTCACGGGGGACACCGTTGAAGCAGAAGGATCCATAGTTCTACCGGTCGAACTAGGATCAGGTGAAAAGACCGTGTGGAAGAAGATGCGGTTCATAGTTGTGGACATCAAATGCGTCCACAACGCAATTCTAGGAAGGCCAGGCATCAATAAAGTCGGGGCGGTGATTTCCATGCCTCATCTATGCATGAAGTTCCACACTCCAGGTGGTGTGGGTGAGGTGAAGGGTGACCAGAGGAACGCCCGGGAATGCTATGCCGGGGCAGTCAAGAAAATAACCAGGGGGTCAATGTCATCTCCCAAGAGATCACAAAGGGAGAGACCCGGGAGAAACTGGAACCCGAGGCTGAGACGGTGGAAATCAAACTTCACCTGGGTGATTCTTCGAGGATGGTCAGAATTGGAGCAAACCTCCCCGAGGATCTCAAGTAGCAGATTACACGGGTCCTCCAAGAATACGCGGGCATATTCGCATGGAGCGTGGCGGATATGCCCGGGATAGATCGCTCTGTTATCTGCCACCGGTTGGCCGTAAGGGAGGGAAGTCGACCGGTACGCCAAAAGAAGCGGTACCTGGCCAGTGACCGGCGAGACTTCGTCAAGAAGGAGGTGAAAGACCTCCTCAGTGTTGGTCACATCCGGGAAGTCAAGTACCCGGATTGGCTGGCCAACATTGTCCTTGCTCCCAAGGGCGACACGTGGAGAATGTGTGTGGATTATACGGACTTGAACAAGGCTTGTTCGATGGTTTCATACCCCCTCCGCAGTCCAGATCAAATGGTGGACGAAACTGCGGGGTGCGAACTCCTAAGTTTCATGGATGCCTTCAAGGGTTACCACCAAATCTACATGGCCAAGGAAGATGAAGAGAAGACATCATTCCTCACACCCGAAGGAACCTACTGCTACCGGGTAATGGTGTTTGGCTTGAAGAACTCGGGGGCAACCTACCAGCGCATGGTGAACAAGCTCTTCAAGCCACTACTGGGAAAGACCATGGAGGCATACGTCGACGACATGCTGATCAAAAGCCAGGTATCTCTGAACCACCCGGCTGATATGCGAGCCACGTTCGATATCATGGCAAGGTACAACCTCTGGCTGAATCCTAAGAAATGCGTCTTCGCGGTTCGTACCGGGAAGTTCTTGGGATTCATGGTGACCAAGAGAGGGATAGAGCCCAACCCAGAGAAAATCTGGGCTATCATTGAAATGCAAGCCCCTACCTCCGTTAGGGATGTTCAAAAGTTGACCGGTCGTTTAGCGGCCCTCAGCCGGTTCCTTTCCCGGTCAGCTGAGAGATCCCTGCCCTTCTTCAAAGTTCTGAAGAAGGCCAACACATTTGCATGGGACGAAGAATGCCGGAGGGCATTCGAGGAGCAGTGTTGCGAAATTCAACATCCTCCGGGAGGATGGTGAAGTGGGCGATGATGTTAACTCAATTCCACATTGAGTACCGGCCAAGGTCGGCAATTAAGGGACAGGCCCTAGCTGATTTCCTAGTAGAAATGACCGGTCTAACTCCGGACTTACCGGTCAACAAGCCCACTGAGCAATGGTGGGAGATGGCAGTTGATGGGGCATCCGGTCCTAGAGGATACGGGGGTGGTATCGTGTTCACCACCCCAGAAGGATTCAAGATCTACCATGCAATCGTCTTTAACTTCAAGCTGACGAACAATGAGGCAGAATATGAAGCTCTGGCTGGAGGGCTCAGACTAGCCCAAGCCCTGAAAATCAGCCGGGCCAGTATCAAATCTGACTCTAGCCTGATAGTAGGGCAGGTGACCGGTAACATGGAAGCAAGGGGAGGACGCATGGCACAATACAAGGACCTTGTACTTGCCCTGTTGAAAGGCTTCGAAGAATTCAAGATCGCCCAAATTCCCCGGGCGGAGAACGCGGATGCAGACCTTCTTTCTAAATTGACGCAGTATGCTCCCGAGCATGTTTCGAAACTTGCCCGGGTGGAGATCCTTGACCGTGCAAGCATCGAGAAATTGGAAGTCGCCGCTATAGCGACAGGGAGTCAGTTTGACCGGTCAAACTTGGTCCGGGCGGACGACCATTGGATGTATGATCTGATGGAATATTTGACGGATGGGAGCTTGCCAGAACAAGATGACCGGGCAAGAAAAGTGAAGCTCAGGGCACCCCGATTCCAAATTCTTGATGGAAAGCTGTATAAAAGGGCATTTGGGGGGCCACTCCTGAGATGTCTAACCAACCGGGAGGCTGAGCGAGTCATAGCGGAAGTCCACGAAGGCGTATGCGCGGCGCATCAAATGTCCCGTACGCTTTCCCAGCGCATTATCTTGTTGGGGTATTACTGGCCAACAATTGTCCAGGACTGTGAGAGGTATGTACAGAAATGTAGAACATGTCAAGTGTTCTACAAGTACCACGGTAGACCAGCAACCTACTATCACCCCGTATCAAATGTCATCCCATTCGCTAGGTTCGGGGTTGATATCATTGGAGCATTCCCAGTCGCCCAAGGAGGGAAGAAGTTTGTGATCGTAGCCATCGATTACTTCACCAAATGGATCGAGGCCGAAGCATTGGCCAACATTACCACGCAACAATGCAAGAAATTCATTTGGAAGAACATCATCACGAGATTTGGAGCGCCCATGAACCTCATCACCGACAACGGCCCACAATTCCAAAATCCAAGGTTCACTGAATACTTGGAGGGCTTCGGGATCAAGCACAATCGCTCCTCGGTAGCATACCCCCAAGGGAATGGCCAAGTCGAAAACGCCAACAGAACTATTGTAGATGGTTTGAAGAAGCGGTTGGGAGAAGCAGGAAACAAGTGGCTCGAAGAGCTCCCACACATCGTATGGGCATTCCGGGTAACACCTAGGAGGGCTCATGGGGAAACTCCATTCTCCCTAACCTACGGATGTGAAGCAAGGCTGCCCATCGAAGCTGAATTCCCAACATTCCGGGAGTCAAATTATCAACCCCAGCATAATGAGGAAGATCACTTGGCCGAACTTAACTTGGTCGAAGAGCGGAGAATGGCCGCGGAAGTCAAAATGAGCACATACCAACAAGTTGTGAAGAAGTACCATGATAACAAGGTCGGGCCGCGATACTTCCAAGTTGGGGATGAGGTCCTACGGAGAAGAGAAGCAAGTAGACCCGGCGACGGAGGAAAGCTAGCAAAAAACTGGGAAGGCCCATATAGGGTAAGAGCCATCATTCGCCCGGGGACATACCGGTTAGAAACCCCTGAAGGGGTACCGGTAGAAAGAACTTGGAATTCCCATCATCTTCGCAAGTTCTACAGATAATTGTAATACTAGGCAAGGCCTACATCATTATCAATCAAAGTGATGTTCAATACTCTACTTGGTAGCGGCAGAATTGATAGGTCGAACCTATCCTAGGAGGGCTTCCTGGGTGGATCGAATCCACTTAGATAAGCCGACTGAGACACAGGCCCGGACTTGGCACGTTGGTTACTACACCAGTCTTGCTCAGTATAATAGAAAAAATATTAAAACCCGGAAGAGGGGCCCGGAAGAGGGTATGCCTGCAAGAGGGCTGGACCTGGAAGAGGGTTCGAACCGTACTTACACGGGCCCATGAGGTTTGATTGGGGATTAAAAGATGCCTATTAAAAGAAATAGAAGGGGATCGTCCACCGTGGCGCATCCTGTTTCCCCCTTCTCAGGGAAGACTTGAACGGGGGGGTGAGCTAAGGCCTTCCCGGGATGGTAGAAATCAAAGGGCCATTAAAAGACTTAATCACCCGGAAGAGGGGGCCCTGGAAGAAGGGTGCATTTGAACCTTGGAGAGGGTTTGAAACCATTCGACATGGTTAAATCTCCAGTATTCTTACCGGTTAAGGATACTTCAAGAATCACTAGGTTACAGGTGTTTCCATCTACAACCTACCGATAAAAAAAAAAGGGATACCCCGGTCGGGTATGGGCACAACAGAACTTCGAACGTTCTACGTCCGTCGGAAGGCAAGGCAGTTGCCCGGTCAAACCATGTAGTGGGAATTCACCGGTCAAACTAAACTCTACCAAAAAGAATTTGTGAAGCCATCCAAAAGGCAAGAGTAAAGTTCGGCCGGTCAGACTTTTTAAGTTGGCCGAAACGGTGAAGACGTTCGAAAAGCAAAAATTGAAGTTTAACCGGTCAAAGTCTCTCGGGCTGATCCTTGAAATAAAGTGACCAGAGAGAACTTTGAAGTGATACCGGTAAAAGGAAGTATGGTGATTGATTACTATACCGGTCAAAGGAAGTATGGTGTTCTAAGAAGCGAAGATCAAAGTATCAATCAAAAAGCATGCAAATATGGAAGCTAAACCGGCATGGAAATTAAACAATGCATTCAGACGAAATTAAAAGTCAAGGGTTTACAGATACACCGGGCATTCCCGGGGAAATGAGTTTGAAGTTTTCCAAAATAATTTAACCGGTCGCAGCCGGGAAGAATACTCAAGAGGAAAGGGAGGCGCAGGCTCTTCGTCCGGGATGGGGGCCAGACCGTATGATTCGGCATTGAAGTCCGGATCCCGGTCGGCAAGGATCGCATGGGTGGCCTCCCGGTCTCGTTTTTGGCCGGACATGAAACCGTAGGAGCCGATCTGGGTAATCATCTCTTTCCCTTGCTCCTCCCGGTACAGCAACTTGAAGCCCTCCATTGTCCTTTCCTCAGAGGAAGTAAGCACCCGGGCGGCCTCCACCAGGTTCTCCTCCATCCACTGTCTGGCCCGACCGGGCAGCTCTTGCTCCTTCACCCATGCCTCCTCCTTCAGGTGGGAGACCTCCCCCATCAGCAGCGAGTTCTCCTCCTTCAGCTGGAGGACCTCCGCGTTCGCCCTACCGGCAACCGCCGAGAGGTTGGCCATCTCGTCAAGTTGCCGGGCGGTCAGGTCTTGAAGCTCCCGGTTGTGGGCTTCAAGCCTCTTCAGCTTT